TCAAAATTGGAAAATACCAGCACATCAAGTCCGATGTCGATAACTGACATGTCAACATATGACAATATGCCAAAATATTAATTTTATCTAACTAATAATTCATAATGTTTTTTGTTCGCCGGTCTTGCATTTCATCTTTCTTTGTGTTGTCAAGTGTTCTCAAGTGATTACAAAGTTGTTTTGTGTGTTTCAAGAAGAACTTCAAACTTTATAGATTGGAAGATCTATTTTTATCTTTGTTGATTAGATAAATGACAGGTTCAATTAAACATCAATCAGAACTTTGAATAAATATGGTAAGGATACCCTTAACCATCGATAAAGAAACTGTCTTTTGATCTAATTAACAAATTATCAATTAATTTAAGCAAACATTAATGCCCCAAAGTCTAGAATAAACGAATTTGAACAGACCGACAGTAATGCAAACAGGGTCCATCTATCATAAAAAGTCCTATGTAAAGTAGGTGACTGTAGCATCGATACAAAACCAGTAAATAGTGATTTTCCGATATGGTAGATGGCGCTGGCTTGGCTCAATTTTGTTGACAACAAAATTTACACTGAGATTCCATTCTCGACAGTTTATATAGTATTTATCTCTGAATTCACTGAAAAAAAAATTTCGACACCTATGTCCAAGATCAGTTTATCGAATGGGCCACTTTCACATTTTTCAAAAACATTTTTAAATTATTCTTTTAGTCATTCTAATACTATCTGTATACTTTTTTTCCAAAAAAAAACCGCTTATTTTTGAAAAAAAAATTATTTTATCCAACACATGACAGTTATGACTGGTATTATTAATGTCATTTCAGACAAGTAAACTATCAAATAACACACTAGTGTGTTATAATCCATAACTCACTAGTGAGTTATGGATTATAACTCACGTTCATATTTAAAGTAGTATTCTATTTATTTATTACAAGCCAAATTCATATTGATATTGAAATTAAAGGAAAACGCTAACGGTTTATTCGAATTTGAAGTCATTATAAAATTCGTTGGTTGGTTCAATAGAATATTTTCATCGATACCTTCAATCTTACGTGAGACTTAAACATTTTGAACTCCTTGTCGTAAGCATCTCGGGACTTGATTGGCAAAATCTGTATCGCTGCTTCTTCTGCTTCGGTAAGGATATCCTCAGGAACGTGATTTTCATCGGTTTCCTCCATTTTCTATTCGTTTTTTTCTTCAAAGAAGCTTCCCTTTTCTGCAGGGAAAGCTGACAAGTGTCAAAATGTATTTAAACATTTGCTAGCAATGTATGTAAAATGTATCATGCCCGTGGCAACCAATCAGACATCCTACTGTATGTGCTTTGATAAAAATATAAAAAAGTCACTGTCAAGTCATTCTGACATTTATAGGGTACTGAGACCAATAACATCATTAAGACGCAAGTAGCTTTGATTTGATCACAAAGCTTATTAATTATTATCTCATTAAAAAATTATATTTTCCACTTGTTGGATAAAACATTGTATGCCACTCGTGTGTTATGTTTCCTAAGTCACTTGGGAATTTATACCACTCGGCCTGACGGCCTCGTGGTATAAATCTTTCTCGCTTGACTTATTTTCAACATAACACACTAGTACCATAAATAACTATAAAAATCGAATTTTTAAACTGGCGTGAAAAAATGAACTTGGTGTGTGACGTCACACACCAGAAAATCAAGGATGCCAAATTTCTCATTAGTAAATCATTACATATTTCACTAGCTAGAAACTATTTTCGTCCTTTACTACATTATAAAAAAATAAAGGATAGGTATAATCTTTATTAACTCATTTAAATTTCGCATTTCTACATGTGGCAACAAAAATGTCAAAATCGGCTTTAGCCAATCACAGAGCGTTTTCAATCACGTGATTTTTCGGTTAATTTTTTAGTTTTTATTTATTAATTTATTTAATAATCTGACTAAAATCTTGCAAAATATTGTTCATTCTTGGTTGCATTGATGTATCTGCGTCAAAAAATATTATAATTTGCCATATTCCCGGCACGTGAAAGTGGCCCATTGTAAAGATTTTGTAATTAATTTTAATTGTTAAATTTTGTTGTTTCCAATAGATGTTCCATATCGTCGCCCTAGTTGTGAATGGTCGTAATCCACAAAATGTTCATTCATGAGTTGTGACTGTTAACCTCTCTGTTAACATACTTAAAAATGTTTAAATTTCATGTTGATGAATAGATCTAAGCCACTGATCAATATTTGACCTTGTTATAGTATATTTGCTAATTAAAAAGAATGTTTTCACAAAAAACAAAAATTTTAAATGCAGTTTACTCACAATTTACCTTGAGTGGATTACGACCATTCACAACTAGGGCGACGATATTTGTGCCTGCTATACCCATATATTTTTTTTTCTCATTATAGTACTTAGTACTATATACAATGGTACTATAATGAAATCATTATGGTACTCAGGACTATAATGAAATCATTATAGTACTCAATCCAATAAAGTATGTCATTTCCAAACTTAAATGAAGTCCATAATATTGTCATTTTGACACGCCGGAATATAAAGAAAATAAACTAGTAAAACCGAAATTAAATCTAAAACAAAATGCACGCAAATTTACGAAGGCGTAGAAGGGCCACATTGCAAATAATTTTTAAAATTTCGTAAAAAATCTCAAAATTTTGAAACTTTTCACAAAATTTTGCCAAATAATTCAAAATTTTGAGAATTTTTGCAAAATTTTGTAAAATGATGCAAAATTTTGAATTATTTTACAAAATTTTGCCAAATAATTCAAAATTTTGAGAATTTTTGCAAAATTTTGTAAAATGATGCAAAATTTTGAATTATTTTACAAAATTTTGTAAAAAATCTCAGAATTTTGAATTATTTTGCGAAATTTTGGATTATTTTGCGAAATTTTGCAAAAAAAGTCAAAATTTTGTAAAAAAAGTACGAAATTTTGCAAAATGATTCAAAATTTTGAGATATTTTGCAAAATTTTGTAAAATAATTCAAAATTTTGAGATTTTTTTGCAAAATTTTGAATTATTTTGCAAAATTTTGATTTTTTTTTGCGAAATTTTGCAAAAAAAACTCAAAATTTTGGATCATTTTGCAAAATTTTGAATTATTTTGCGAAATTTTGCAAAGGAAGTACAATAATTCGACCTCGTTTCTCTCAGTCGGAAAAAATATTTGCGCGTATCAATTACAAACCGACAAGCTATACGTGTGCGTTCGACTCGTGTTCTCGTGCTTACTTGGAAACGAACCAGACGAAGGAACTTGGAAGGAAAATTGACAGCTGTCGTTGGAACATTTTGAAATTTGTTTCTCCTTGTCATGTTTTCGACTTTGACAGCTGTTAATTTTGACGTTGGAATTTTTTTGGTATTTTTTTCGGATTTTTCAAGGTCGAATTTCTTATGATATGTCACTTTTGTATGTATAGGGTCGGGTTTTTTTTGTCTCTGTCTCACGGTTTATAACACGCAGGGGGTGGGGTGTTGTCACCCGGCGGATTATTGAAGGTCTACATATGGCGCATCTATTCCTATAAAGTTTAGCCTTTTAAGTTACCGACTCCTTTTCTTGCGGTCAGCTCTTAGACTTCGTACTTAAAATCGAGCTACTTGGAATATTTACCTACTATAATATTAAAATACATGTCACAGGCTTGATTCTCTTATTTGGAAATTCTAGGGTGAACTAAGTACATTTGACAAATAAATTAAATAAAACATGACGCCACAAACAAAAATGTGTGTAAAAAATTTTTCTCAAACTGATAGAGCACTACAAATTCACAGAAAATAAATAAACAGTCCTATGCCCACAGCATCATATTGGAATTTGCCTCTGAACCACTTTCTTTGTTATTAAAAATATTAAATACAGGATTGGCAAGACATGAAGGCATGTTCAAAAATGTATTGAAAAAAGTCTGAACTCCGATGTTTAGTGAGTTTCTGCCACCGCAGTTTATTGAATTTATTTGTCAAATGTACTTTTTTTACTTTTTATCTCGTTGTTCGAATTGCCTAATAGGAATTATGAAACTATATTTTGCTTATTATGTGTTTTTTTACGAAACTTTCCTATTATCTATAGCAATATTTAGCATACTAGCCAATTTTACCAAGTTTTAATTTATTTTATTTAGGCCTGGTTGTACCAAATGGAGGTTCAGTTGAACTCTACTGGTACTTGATCTTCCCAATTTGGAGCGCATTGATGTCAGAAATCTGTCAAAGTTCATATTTTTTGACAGCAACGCATTCCAAATAAGAAAGATCAAGTACCAGTAGAGTTCAACTGAACCACTGTTTGGTACAACCAGGCCTTAGTCATTTTGGGTTTTAAACCTAATAAGTTTTTCTGTAGTCCAGTTACAGGTTACAGACTGTATTGTGTTGTTACGTTTTTGATAATAAGTATGTGTTACTTCGTCAAGCTTATTTTTTATCTTACATACTTACTGAATGTCCCATTAGAAATGACGTCGATTTAAATTTAAATACCAAATAAAACTTGCCATTTTATTAAAAATTTAATATCTATTCAATCCGATATCTAAAGGTAAAGATAAAATTTATCACCTTCCAGAAGTATTTGATAGGGAAAGGTGATAAATTTACCTACACCTGACATCAGATTTTGAATAGGATAAAGAATTAGAAAGCATCTTTTTCCTGGGTCACTCAGCAAGTATAAGTTTTTTTTGCTATTTTAAGGAGTAAGTTTAATTTGTTTTATTTCTATATTTTTAGATGGAGAAAAACATTGTGTGATTTTTTGTGATTAGTTGTTACAGAATGAGAATCAAATTTTTATTTTATTTTTTTGAGGAAACAAGGGTGAAAAGAACATTATTTTAGGATAAAAAAACATTTTGGAACAAAATAAGTTTATTATGACAATGTAGTTCGAGATGCCCAGCCATAAATGCATATATTATGTAACAATAAAGAAATTATAAAAGTGAAAACTGAGTGCGGTTGTTTAAAAAGTCCCTCATTTATAACCCGGGAGCATAATGAACAATGAAACCATTTATTAAATGGTAATGTTAAATATATTACGCAAATCATTTCTCAACTTTTTATACAAATAAACACAATCTGTTGGGTTTTCATTTTGGACGTATTGATTTTCTTCTATTAAAATAATACAAAGCTCATGAAAATCCTTGTCGCATGGATGCTCTTGGATTGTACAACCAGAGGAGAGTTCATCAATTGCAAAGGCAGGTACTGGCACTAAATAACTTTGAGCTCCGTAGAAAGAAGGGACTTCATACATTAAAGCTGGTCTTCCAGTTGGAGATACACTGTTTCTGGTTTTACTTATTTTGTGAATATTCCACTCATGAACAACTTCAACCATTTCTCTCTATAAATAAACAGAATAATTAACAAGAAGATGGTCTAACCATGATCCACACACGCACCACACAACTACCTACAGTGAGAACGTGAAGGTTGGCATAAATTCAGTAAAAAATCAGGTTTTTTTTTTTTTTTTTCAAAAACGCTCGAGGCTTTTTTTTTATCGCGCATCTTTTGCACTGAAAAGGACGAGGTGGATTGAACATGGGAGAAAAAGTCATCATTAAAGATAAAACCACTAAGGAGAACCTCTGACGTCATTACTGACGAAGAAATCTTATAGGCCCCTCCGAATTAAATATGCTTTTCTGCCGTGTGAAACATATAATTTTTTCTCCGAATATTCTCATTTCATTCATGGACATCTTCGACACTATCACTTTTAATGCCTAGGCAGTAAATGTACAACTTTTGATCCTGTCAAGTGTCATGAAAAGGCCGATTTCACTGTCATTCGGAGAAAAAACCATTTTTGTATTTGTTTCCAAAAAATGTGCCTATATGTGAAGCCACATTTCTTGTTGGCGATTTTTGTGCTACCTACAGAAACTAATTGGTGATCGTGTATCGTATATTTTTGTTTTGTAATTCTAACCATGCAAAATAACATAGGGTAAACAACCCAGTTATTGGACATGTGGTAGTTATCGGACAGTTTTAATCTAATACCCAAAAACAAGATTCCGACGAACCTTTAGTTCTTCTGACTATTCAGAGATGGCACTACCATACATTTGACAAATTTTGACAATAACGACAAAGGCGTGCGCAGCTTTTTATTTCCCGCGTTTTTTGATATTCCATGGAGGTGTAAGAAGTTGGTGTATTTTTTTAATTTCGTTAAGGCCGTTTGTGCGTAATTATTGTGCTAAGTTAGTATAAATCGCAGAGATGTATCAAAACCTGATATTTTATGTGTATTCACTTATATGAAAAGGTAAGATTTACAGCTTTACTGGCCCGATATGTTATCTTGGACTCGAATCCAGGGGAGGCCAATAACTGGATTCAAAAATACTTTTTTTTTCAGTTATTGGACACCTGTCCAATAACTGATTCAACAAGATTTTTCAGTTTTATGCAGCATTTGTTCAGACTTTTCACGCTGCTTCTTTTAATGTATAAGTTTTTCAGATATTTTGATTCTAACTAGTTATTGGACGCGTGTCCCATAAATGAATAATAAACTGTCCAGTAACTGAAACTTTCAATTTAAGATCTTGTGTTAGTTGTTAATAATGCCAAAAAAGAGCATATATGATGTTACCTCTATGGAGTCTGCCATAAATGAAGTTAAAAGCAATACATTATCACTTAGAGCAGCCACAAAAAAATATGGCGTGCCAAAATCAACATTGGATTTTAAATTAAAAAATCCTTGGCACAGAGATACTTGCGGTCCATCGCCTATTTTGACTTTAAGAGAGGAATCTAAGCTAGTAACGTAAGTCAATTGACAGTATTTATATTGATTTGTATTTGAATTCAAAATCTCTCCCTCTAGGTGGATAGAAGAACTTGCAAATCGTGGATTCTCAAGAAAAAAAGATGACATTTTAAATAGTGTTCAACAATTCTTGATAGAGAATTCACGACCCAATCCGTTTAAAAATCACAGACCTGGTGAATATTGGTTTAAGGTACACATACAACTTAATGCCATTTGGTTTCTTCAATAATTTAATTTCACCCATTTACCTAGGCTTTCCTAAGAAGGCATCCCACAATTGTGCAGAGAACTAGAGAAGCTGTTAGTTCAGCAAGTGCTTGTGTATCAGAAGCAGACATCAGAAAATGGTTTGATGAGATAAGAGCAGTGGCGTGTCTAGACTTTAACAGACAGGGAAGCTGTGGGGAAAGATGGTGAAAGTACAGGACAGGAGAGACTTATAATTTCACAACCAGTCAGCCATTCACAAGTTTCATATATTTCTTTTTGAAATTGTCTACATAAAGTTTAATTTAGTGTTCTTAATAAATCCTCGAGGGGAAACTGTGCTTCCCTAGCTTACATGGTAAACACGCCACTGGATAAGAGGTTATTTGGAGTCTAAAAACATAAATATAGACGATCCTTCTCGAATATATAATGGGGATGAGACAGGCTTCCAAATCTGCCCGAGCACTGGTAAAGTTTTTGCTGGAAAAGGCGTAAAAAACGTTTATGCTGTAGATAAAGGATCTCAAAAGGATAATCTTACTGTTATGTTCTCTTTTTTTGCCTCTGGAATGACATGCCCCCCAATGATAATTTACCCATACCAAAGAATTCCTGAAAAAATAGCAGCAACAGTTAATTCCACTTGGGGAATAGGCCGATCTGATAATGGTTGGATGACTTCAGAGACATTCTATGATTACATAAAAAACATATTTCATCCGCATTTAGTTGAAAACAATGTACGTTTTCCTGTTATATTATTTCTGGATGGACATAAGTCCCACTTGACTCATGAACTTAGCCTTCTCTGCAATGAATTGAATATTGAAGTTATTGCTTTGTATCCGAATGCAACTAGAATTTTGCAGCCATGTGATGTTGCCGTATTTAGACCTATAAAAATTGGTTAGAAGAAAGCTGTTAGGGAATTTTATGAAAGCAGTCCAGGGCAAGTTCTTAACAAAATGACCTTCGCTCCACTTTTAGAATCGGTAGTGAAGCCAGAGACGCTTCTAAATGGATTTAAAGCATGTGGATTATTTCCCTTCAATCCCAATGCAATAGATTGTTCAAAGTGTTTGGGGAAGGTTAATAAACCTGTGCCAGATGTGAGTAGCTTTCTTGTAATTTCTTCCACTTGAGTTTCACGCGTTATTTGTTAAAATTTTCAGGAGACGCATGCCCATCCCGATACAATGGATAATAAAACTTTTACCAACTTCATAGGGAATGAGCTTATAAGAAAATTCAAATCATTTGATGCAATATTAGTTAAAGAAGGATTGAACAATGAATTCCTTATACTTCATCAAATGTGGAATTATTTCGGAAAGCCTGATAGGGAAGACAATGCCATAGAGACAGTTAACATGGAAGTTATGGAGTATGAAAACGAAGAACATTCCAGTGAATTGGAAGAGGCCAGTACTAGATCAGAAGCGTTAGTTGAATTAAACGAGCCCAGTCCATCAAAAAATATACAAAGTGATGCCAAACTTTCCAAAATCACTGGGGATTGTGAAACTTCAGATCCCTTTAGTATATTTATTCATACTCCAGGAGGCAGACCAGAACCAAAAACTAGGCCTTTACATGTGAATTCAACTGATATTGCAAGTAATAATTTTGGAAATATAAAATTGCCTCAAACTTTGAAGACACCTTCAATAGATAATAATATTACTGATGCAGCTACTTCATTATTACCATCAACAAGTAAAAGATGTATCAGTGATTTCCTTACGATGCCAGACAAACCCCAGCGAAAGAACAAGCGCGATGTAGAGCGCGTTTCGTTTGCCATAACTTCTAGATCTTACCAAGAAAATTTTGAAGCCAAACGCGCGCTTAAATTAAAAGAAGAGAATGAGAAATTGGAGAGGAAACGATTAAGGGAAGAAAAGGCTGCAGCCAAAGCAAATTTGGAAACTAAAAGAGTTCTTAAGTCAGCTGATGGTATAACTAATGGCAATTGTTTTGTATGCACAAAACAACTATTTAAAAATAGCCACTACTTTAAATGTGATAGTTGCAAAAAATATATCCATCGTCACTGCGTTCCCAAGAAACACAAAAACCACGTTCCCGACTTAGAAGATGATGATCTGTTCATGTGTCATCTTTGTTACAAGGAGGAAAGCGATGATGGAGCCGATAGTGAAGATTTTGATGAGAATGAAGAGGAAGATAGCTTGGAAATAGATCAAAACAAAAACGACAATGATTTAAATGATACAAATTCAGACGAAAAGAAGAAAACTGATGAAAATAAGGAGGAGATGAATTATTCTCTTTGTATAAAGATGAATGTGCCAAATATTATTAGATAGATAAGAATGATAAAATCGTATTGTAAACTGATAATAATAGTCATTTTTTGTGTTGAATAAAAGAAAAATAACACATCGTTTACATGTCCAATAACTAAATTGATTTTGTCCAATCACTAAAAAAAATGTCCAATAACTAATTTTTTTGTCATGTAATTTGTTAATTGCCTGTAAAAAAAAATATCCATCAAAGAGTTAATATCAATAAAGATAATTGAAGGCCATATAATAAGTGTCATTTTAGATATTTGCTCAAGTCCGTAGACCTGAAAATAAAATTTGGACACGTTATCGATTTAAAAAAAAATCTTAAGTGTCCAATAAATGGGTGGTTTACCCTACCTCGATTATCTTCGAGAAACAGAACTGTATTAACATCTTGTCAAGAGTCGTTCCCTGGAAGAAATTCTCATCTTTCAGTGATTGAAAAAGGTTCATCCAAAACTGAACGCAGTGTTTTCTAAGCATTCCCCACCAAGATTCAATTCTTTGGTTATGTGTACTTTTCCCATATAAGAAGGATGGTCTATCACACCTCTCGGTATTGAATGATTGATGAAAGGTTTTTTGTATTCGTTCCACCAACCCATTTTCGGTACCCATGTCAGACCGGACAGTTTTTGGACAACCACCTGTTAATCTCACAGCATCCAAATAGTATCCGGCGATTACCTAAAATTGTCAAACATTTCGCATTATAATAGCTATTTATACAGAGTGTCCAAAATACCATGGACCAATTGGTATATCGGATACGGTAAGAGATGGTAAGTGATGCGGCCCGTATTCTGGTGTCGTGGGAGTGAGATCCCCCAGGGGCACGATTCTCGTCTCGGGGAGGGAGAGCTCTCTCCCCGAGAGAACGAATGTTTTGTCCTTGTCAACTTAATCGAAAAGTAAACGAGAATGATGAAGACAAAAAACTTGTTCTCTCGGGGAGCTCTCCTTCCCTGAAACGAGAATCGGGCCCCTGGGGAAAGCTACATTTGATTCTCAAATGTGATTCTCTCGGGGATCTCACTCCCACGATACCAGAATACGGGCCGCGGTTAAATTAGAAAAAAGTTGCCATTTTTGAAGAATAATGAAAATAATTTTTTGCTGTTGCCAAATTTCTATTAGTTTCGCAAATACATGGTGGTTCATGAAAATTAGCAAAAACAATTTTCTTGATTATTTTATGTCCTACTGAACAATCATAACCATACAGTGGTCCCACAACGAACTGCCGCGATCGATTTCTCAGAAAATAAACTTTGGGAAATTTTGAAAATTTGGCAACAAAACAATGTTGATGGGGGCCATCCGGCTAAAATAATTTCAAGACTGTGGCACTTCCGGTTATACTGGAGGTAGACGTCAGCTTGCATATTTTTAATGAGATACCCTATATGTTATTGCCTATTTGGATTCTATGTACGTAAAATTCTGAGCAGATTTCATGTGATATACCCTATACCTAAGCTAAGTTCAACTGTTTTGGAAATATTGACAGTTGAAAATTGACTTTTTGCAACTTTGACAGGCTGTAAAACCTAAACGGTTGATTTAAAGGAAAACCGATTTCACGTTCCTATCTTAGATTTTCATCAACTATCATTTGACACTAACATTAAATTTAGTCCATGATTAAAAATTCCAGTTAAATTTAATCTCCGGTTAAATTCAAAGTTGGTCTTAAATGATAGTTTATGAAAATCTAGGATAGGAACGTGAAATCGGTTTTCCTCTAAAAACAAACGTTAAGGTTTTACAGCCTGTCAAAGTTGCAAAAAGTCAATTTTCAACTGTCAATATTTTCGAAACAGTTGAAGATAGGTATAAGACATTGTACATGAAATATGTCTAGAATTTTCCGCAGAATCCAGAAATGTCATAAATATACAGAGTGTTCCATTTAAAATAGTATAACTTTGTTTTGCCACACTTTCGTGACACACCCTGTATACTTTTAACTAACTTCATTGAAAACTTTCTGATATTACCTACAACTTTCTTATTTAACATTTCTAGGTATCTTTTCAAACAGGTGAGATAGGTGCGGGTGCAAAATATAACCAAACACCCGGTACCTGTTCCTTTTTTCCCTATATGAGTAGTTGACGTCACTTTCAGATTGACTTTGGCGTGCGATTTTTAACGTTTTACAGAGCAGTCGTATGAAATAGTAGTTTACCTAACAAGTGCGGAAAGTGCCACTTTTCCGCACGCGATTGCAGATGGCCGAACGACGCGTTAGCGGAGTTCGGCCAGAAATCGAGTGCGGAAAAGTCACTTTACGCACGTGCTAGGTACATTATTTTTTCTACACGCGTGAGGAAAACAAAACAGCAAAAGTTTACACACAAAAAAAATAATTTTACTAGTAAAAGTTGCGAGAACAAAATTGGTTTGACTGATAAGCCTATTTTTGTTTTGTTAATTGTTCCTATGGTGATTCAAACTGCCAAAACATGGCAGGAGTTAATTATTTTGATTTGATGAGGCCTATACCAGTGGTCCAATTATTGAAAAATATCGCATACAAAATTTCATTCGAATTTGACCGATAGCAATGTGAAATGAATGGGAAAGCGTTCGAAATCAAATGTCGTATACGATATTTATCAAGAATTGAGCCTCTGGCCATCAAAAAATTATTTAAACATATTTTCGACATATTCAAATGTCAGTAGGTATGCATCTTAAAAACTAAAAAAAAATTACTTTTCCGCACTAGTGCGGAAAAAACTCTTTTCCGCACTAGTGCGGAAAAGTGACACTTTCCAAACCAAAATGCGTGCGGAAAAGTGGACTTTTCCGCACGCAAGTAGAAAATAGTTATTTTCCTAACAAGTGCGCAAAGTGTTACTTTTCCGCACGCAAACACAGTTATACGAACGACGCGAAGCGGAGTTCGGATACGTGTTTGCGTGCGGAAAAGACACTTTGCGCACGTGTTAGGAACAAAATTTTTCCTACGAGCTTCATATCAGGTAGGTAACAACAAAAATTTAAAAAAAAAACGATAATTTGTTTAATTATTTTTAATTAACTTGAAGGGAACCTATGCATTTATCAAAAAATTACATAACAAAAAAAAAATATAACAGAAAATCATCGTCAGAGCTCTTCATCTTAAAGCGTTTAATGGCGATTTCCATTTGTCATCAGTGCCGCACTGAGTGCATCCGCATCTTTTTCTAAAAGCATGTAACATGTAAGGATAAGGATACATTTTTTTGCCCTGTTTCGACAAATGGAAAATGCTATAAATTTGATGAGAAAGTTTGTAGATGCATATATATAGAAAACAAATCTGACAATGTGTTGAAGTTAATTAAATTTGGTGTTTGTAGGTATAGATGTTAGCTGGAACAGGAACAGAGGAAAAATTTGTCATCATGTGTCAAAGTCGACAGGTGTACTTATTGTTGCTTGACAATTATTTTTACTTTTCGGCACTCAGTGCGGATAAGGCCTGTATCCGCACTGAGTGCGGAAAAGTGCAACTTTGAGAACCGAAATGCGTGCGGAAAAGTACTACTTTGCGCACGCTCGTAGGAAAAAGCTATTTCCTTCCCGCAAGCGTTAGGAACTGTATTTTTTCTACGAGCGTACTAAAGATGTTATGAAAAATGTAATTTAAATGAAATTCGATTGTAGAGAAGACGAAACTTAAAATTTATTTAAATATTTTGACAAAATTTGACTCAGTCAATAAATAAATATCACTATAGAAATTTCACTTCTGACAACTCTTCCCGCACTAGTGCGAGAAGAATGTCTTCCCGCACAGACAACAGTGCGGGAAGAGTCATTTCCCACACGCTCGTAGAAAAAATATTATTCATATTCCGGTCTCAAAACACTCCTAGAATGTTAATTTTTTTTTTTAAATTCCAGGAAAAATGTTTTTCAAATAAACTTTTTGTAATTCAGTTACATAATGTCATCTTTTTGACATTGATTCACGTTGTCAAAGGTGGTACATTTTAACACAAACGCCAAAATGAGCAGTGTGTTCTTACACAGTGACGAAATGTGACATTACAGTGACGAAATGTGACATGTGAGTGATGAAAAGTGATTTAGAGTGCGTTCCGTGTCAGTGATAAATAGTTATTTTCCTAACTAGTGCGGAAAGTGATACTTTTAGTCGTTAGTCGCTTCGCGTCGTTCGGGCAACGGCAGTCGCGTGCGGGAAAGACACTTTCCGCATGAGTTAGGAACATTATTTTTTCTACAAGCATAAATTTTTTTTTTTTAAATTTTTGAAAATTTTAAAATTTAAAATTTTAAAATTTCAAAAAAATGCGTGCGGGAAAAAAATTTTGCGTGCGGGAAAGTGGACTTTCACGCACTAGTGCGGGAAAAAAAAGGGAAAGTGACACTTTCGGAACTAAAATGCGTGCGGGAAAGTGGACTTTCCCGCACGCTTGTAGAAAAATGTGTTTATATTTTGAATTTTGAATGAATCACAAAAAATCTTGTATGAAACACGTCGCAAAATGGCTGTTTTTTGCACACAATGTGTTGACCACTCGCTTCGCTCGTGTTTCAATCTTCACATTTAGTGCAAAAAACACGCACATTTTACAACTTGTTACATAAATAGCTATTTCCGAACAAATAATTATTCGAACAAATGTTTTCGAACAATTTTCTCCGATCCCACGTATACATATACGTACCTTTGGATCACTTGATGTTCGACCCAATCTCAACCAAATTATGTGCCTGGAAAAACCATCTATGCAACCATTTATACAAATTCCGTAGGGTTTAAGCTTATCATAGGAATCCATATGTCATAAATAATTGGGACCTTTATTAAAATACTGGCGCCTCCTAAGTCTTTTTCTTTTACGAAGAATATGCCCCTCTGGATCCAAAAACCGCAAAATTTCTGCGACTACTTCTTGGGTTACCACTAAATTGTTCTGAATACACCTAAGATGCATCCATCTGTATCCATGAAGCTGGCCAGAACCTTTCAACTCGTTTTCAATAAATTGAACAACTGTTCTAATAGGTGAATAGTACTTCCTTCGGAAAAGTCCTAATTTTTGCAGTATTCTTTTAAGAGTTCTAGGGGAGATGATTATCCAATTCAGAGACTTTAGCAATAGCAGAATTTCATTCTGTTTAAAACCATACGAAAAAAGTTCTCTTATTTTAGTTGTGGTGTAATCCTCCTAAAATTAAGAATAGTGATTTAGGCAACAAGTGCGTGTAAAGTGAACCGTTTTTTACGAATGTGGAGTTTGACGCTCGAGCCGCAAACGAGTGCGACACTCACATGAGTGGGGTGACTACGAATATCATAAGGATTCTCAAGTTTTAAAAAATGTATAAAATTGCGAGTTTGTATGCCCCTCTTTACCAGGTGTCAACGAATCTATTAGACAAGCCATAACTTAATTCTAGAGTGTTAGGTTTATCAAAATGAGATTTGGTATAAGTGAAAGAAATATGAGGAAGAGATTTTTCGCATATTTTTTATTTTCGAGTCAGTTTTACCAGAAATGGCTTTGATTTCGAATTTTTAAAGGGAATATTATCACATTTTTGAATTTCTGAGACTATTCTGAATTAGAAAATTACATTTTTGGAAGTTTTTACTCCTACCCGATTTTTTTAGAGCCACTTTTAATATTGCATTTAGGTTTCCATGATCGTACGCAAACTAATACAGAGTGGCAAAAAAGTACTGCATACAACCTGTAGCTTTTTAGAACCTTTTTTCATATAAAGGTACTAAAAAAGTTACAGGTATTATCCGCTACTTTTTTGCCACTCTGTATAAGGACATCAGGTTTTGTTAGAAAATTATAATCGCACCGTTATTGTGGTCAGTACCTATGCTACGAATAAGGCAAGTTGGCGAAATCACATTTTCGTGGTATTTTTTATTTATTTTTTTCCAAACGGCGACCCTTTTTTGACAAAAACTTCCTGGAAAGAGGATTTTTTGGCGAATTTACCAACACTAATTTATTCGTGATTAGATTAAAAATAAGCTCATAAATTGAATATTACTAAAACTACCATTTAAATGGAATACACGTGTGGCTCTTGGGAAATCAAGTAGGCGTAGAAACTATCAAAAATGTCACATTCTGATTCAGAATTGTCTTAAAAATCTAAGAATGAAAAAATATACATGGTGTACCGTTTGAAAATTCGAAACGCTAGAGACATTTCCAATAAAACCAGAAGTGACTCGAAAATAAAAAATACCCGCAAACTCTCCACCTATACCAAATCTCATTTTGATAAACCTAACACTCTAGAAGATATGGCTTGTCTAAGAGATTCGTTAACACCTCTAGAAGATATGGCTTGTCTAAGAGATTCGTTAACACCCTATATGTGATAAATATTCCCAAAACCACAAAAAAAAAATAAAATTTCGATCAATGAAATAGCTCGCCAAAGCTAAAAAACACCCTCTAACAAATTTGAGGAAAAAAACACACACTTACGTCATCTGCCATTTCGGTCGTCCTTAAATGTTAGGCACTCACTTCTCACTAATTGTACTCAAGCACATCGCGTTGTACCTATAGGTTGGTTGGATTATGATCATAATAATATTTTAAGCAAAATAATTCAAAATTTTGAGTTTTATTGCAAAATTTTGTAAAAAAGTACGAAATTTTGAGATTTTTTGCAAAATTTCGCAAAATAATTCAAAATTTTGAATCTTTTTACAAAATTTTGACTTTTTTTGCAAAATTTTGTGAAATAATTCAAAATTTTGCATCATTTTACAAAATTTTGCAAAACATCTCAAAATTTTGAATCATCTTGCAAAATTTCGTACTTTTTTACAAAATTTTGACTTTTTTTGCAAAATTTCGCAAAATAATCCAAAATTTTGCAAAATGATCCAAAATTTTGAGTTTTTTTGCAAAATTTCGCAAAAAAATTCAAAATTTTGCAAAATAATTCAAAATTTTGCAAAAAATCTCAAAATTTTGAATTATTTTACAAAATTTTGCAAAATATCTCAAAATTTTGAATCATTTTGCAAAATTTCGTACTTTTTTACAAAATTTTGACTTTTTTTGCAAAATTTCGCAAAATAATCCAAAATTTCGCAAAATAATTCAAAATTCTGAGATTTTTTACAAAATTTTGTAAAATAATTCAAAATTTTGCATCATTTTACAAAATTTTGCAAAAATTCTCAAAATTTTGAATTATTTGGCAAAATTTTGTAAAATAATTCAAAATTTTGCATCATTTTACAAAATTTTGCAAAAATTCTCAAAATTTTGAATTATTTGGCAAAATTTTGTGAAAAGTTTCAAAATTTTGAGATTTTTTACGAAATTTTAAAAATTATTTGCAATGTGGCCCTTCTACGCCTTCGTACAAATTCAATGCAATGGCACTGTATAAAATTTATGATATCAAAATAACAATAATAACGGGTCAGTAGGTAATAGTTGAAGAAAATAACTAGAAACATTAAACAATAAAAATAATGTAAGTACTCACAGTTTGGAAACTCAACTAACGCACCGGCCGGTTATAACAATTAATACTTGTGTGTTCCCAGTTCCCATAGAAGACAATCCAACATTGGCACCACAATTTGGATTAATACTTCAAAAGTCTCACCAGTTAAGACTTCCAAACAAAACAACCCAAGAATCTTCTGGATTCTTGACAACCTTTTACAACAGCTGTTTTCGTTAATTCGAAGGGAAGGAGCAAGCCGGGAAGGAGCACCCTTTTTTGCTAAGGTTGAAGGGAATCTCACTTCGAAGTTTCAAAACAAAAGATTTCTTTATTGTGTAAGTAAACATAAGAAACAAAACACTAATTTAAATACATTTTTAACGAGGAAACAAAAAACATTACAACTCAAACTAAAGTTTATTGAGAACCAGATAAAAATGGCACCCTTTCGCGTTCGCGAGCGTCTGTAGATAGTGTAGAAAAAGAGAGCCGCCGCGCCAAGGTCCAAGTCCCTTGCTTCGTTGTCTTCAATATTCCTACGCCCAATACGAAACCAGCATTTTCAAAGTTCCCTTTGCTACGCCCAATAGCGAACCAGCATCTTCCAACTTTTTGTTCGCGCTTCTTTTTGGTGGCTCTACAGTTCTGAAATCACCCGATTTGTGATTATTTGGGGCGCGGCGTTGACAAGTTTACGAATCGGAAATTGAAATTAGTGAAATTATACTTTTTTTTAAAGTTACAACTAGGGTTGTCACCTTTGATTTCCGAAAACCCGTACATAATCAAAGCTAACTTTTTTTCGTAGCATAATTTACACTCATATCTGTAGAATGAATTTTTTGAAAAATTTAAAAAAGGTACCTATCTACTTTGCCGTGTGAAACATAATTATGTCATTTTTTCTCCGAATTTGTTACACTTTCACGCATAATCCACTCTTTTATGTTTATCGATTGCGCTGATAACGTTTGTTGAATGGGAAGCAAAGAACTTTTCTGCCTAGGCAGAAAAAGTCTACTTTTCCATCGCTAACTGGAAACCGGAGACGTTCGTGACATACCCGTCATTCAAGAAGTAGGAACGTTCAGAAATTAGTTGGGTATATCCAGGGCCGCAACTAGAACCCTTGGCGCCCAAGCAGTGGCGTAGCCAGCCTTGCGGGGCGGAGGGGGCAAACACATAAGGGGCGCATAATTTTTTTGCGGGGGGGGGGGGGGGGGGCGAGAGAAGATAACAAATGAATGTTTTTACTTTGTTTGTATGCTTTTGTAATATTTGCTTATTGAGGGAAAATATTAAAGAGGAATGGGGACAGAACGGACGCTGCCGGAGGCGAAAAATTTCCTTGGGTGCTACGCCCAAAAAAGTTTATTTCCTTCAAAAACATTTCTTTTTTCGGGTGCCACGGTGCTACGCCGAAAAACATTTATGTATTTTAATCCCTACAAGAAATAATGTGTGGACATGTCGTTAACTTCAAAAAATCCTTCCGGACGCCTTGAAAACAAATCCGGGGAAATCCTGACGGATGACAGCCCCATCCAACCCATTAACCAATAGTTTAATGAACAAATACTATCAAAACAGAAACTATCTCCTTTCCTTAATGCTGACTTTCGATAAAGAATAAAGGGTGAAGAGGTCAATAAGATAAATAAGAAACAGCATAATTTTATAATTTCTTATTTCATGCTTTTGTTTTTTAAGAGCGGTAGGGGCGCCATCCGTGTAGGGGCGGGGGGGGCCGTCGCCCCCCCCTGCCCCCCTACTGGCTACGCCACTGCGCCCAAGGCAAGTCCAAATTTTGGCGCCCCTCCACCGCCTTCTCAAAAGTAACAATAGATATATTTTTTGATGCTTCGGTTTTTGTGTAAAATATAGGTATAATTTAGACACATTGAATCAATAGCTATTTACCTAACAAGTGCGGAATATGACCGTTTACTCCGGCCTTAGAGTGGATTTTCATGCATCCGTTTGTCCGACGAAATATGTCCATTAAATCTTCTATTTTGAAATATTTTTATACGATTATGTCAGAATAGAATGTTAAACGGACATCTTTCGTCCGACAAACGGATGCATGAAAATCCACCCTTAAGCTCAATTCTGACTTGCGCGAAATTCGCTCTTTTTTGACATTGCTTCGACAATTTGACGTTTGATACATGCATTAAACGTCAAATTGTCGGAGCAATGTCAAAAATAGCGAATTTCGCGCAAGTGAGAATCAGGCATTACGCATTCTTCGTATATGCATGCTTCGTCTATTTTCTTTTTTTTAGTAATATCAAAGTGTCCCGCTTTTTTTTGCATTGTCCCGTTTTCCTAA